TAGGGCAGAAAGTCCGTGTAAAAAAACCTCCTGAACTGTACTTAGTGCTTTCTTTCGATTGGAATAATCAGGCTCCTTTCTAGCACTGGTTACTTAGTTTCCTAATCTAAAACTGATTAGAGGGACCTCGGTGAGGATCGCATGGGCTAACTGTTTCCATTTCACATGTGTTGAGCATTTCTCTGTCATCAGCATTCTTCTGAAGCAGTTTTACTGTTTAGGACTGCACCGCACTCAGGGATAGGGACGCACAGCTCGGAGACCTCTTCCCTAGAACAAACATTGTGATGAACTTTTCTGGACACCGATCTTTGTCTTCTCCAATTATTTCCTGGCAGTAGAGATGGTGAGGTGAATTAATGACTCTGAGTCTGAACAGTTCTGAAGCCTTTGAAACATAGTACCTGATAGCACTCATCATTACATTTAATGACTGATATTCCCTTTTGGGTACATAAATAATAATGGCTAACGTTTTGGAATATTTATGGACAAGTATTGTTGTAAGCTTACATCACACTTGCTAACTCATTCCATCTTAAAAGTGATTACTGACATTCCTGTTTTACAGATGAGAACGGGAATCTTAGGGAAATAAAGACAGTCCCTTAGGGTCATGCAAATAATACTGGAGGAGCCAGGGTTTGCTCCCGCACACTCTAGGGGAATAGCTGACATTTACTAACGCTTTACTATAAAGAACAGGTTTTCTGAACCTCTGAGTTAACAGATTTAAAATACTACATTGTGTGGCCCGGGTATGAGTTCCACGTGCTATGGAGGCATTTTGTTCTCATTTTACAGATTCTGAAAAACGCATATGCAGGGTGTGGCAGCAGACACCTATAATCCCAGCACTCAGGGGTCATTGTGAGTTCAGGGACAGTCTGAACTACATAGCAAGATGCTGTCTCAAAAAAAAAAAAAAAAAAAAAAACCATTGAAAAGATAAAAAACAGGTAAAAATTGGAACAAGTCAAGTAACTCCCCCAAGTCCTCTAAATAATAATTGGCAAAGCAAAAACTATACTCCTGTTATTTTAGGTTTGTATTCACCGGACCCAGACAGCGTCTCCACACTGCTAAATCATTCAGAACACTTAGGTTCTTAGTATATAATAATATTACGATCACACTTGTCCGCACGCCCTTGCGTAGCTCGCCGAGCCGGGCTTCCTAGACATGGAGCCCCCGTCCTAGCACAGGGGTGATCTTAGTTCTGTCCTGAGTCACGCCCAGAGGAGCCTGTGCACATGTGGTCCCCTGGTAAGAGAACTGATGTCTTTGTGATAAAACCCACAGAGGGTGGGAGTGGCATGACTTCGAGGGGTGATGACCCTGAGCTCAGACCTGGAGGACCTCCACGGAGGCCTTGGAGGTGGGCTGTCCCTGAAGAGGGAGGGACAGGGAGCTCCTGCACTGCAGCGGCAGTGCTTAGGGTCCAGACCTGGGAGGGAGGAGGAGCTGACTTCGTCCCACAGAGGGGAAGAGGGTCACTGAACAGCCAGCCCCCCTGTGGAGTGTGTGGGCCATGAGGGGGAGTCGTGAGGTGCCATTTCTGTTGAGGCCCGAGCCTAAGGAGTTGGTATAGATTGTACGCGTGAGTGGGAGATGGGGAATCAGCCGGGACTCCAGGAAAGTGCTCATCGGATGGCTTGGTTGCTGTTGTCTCACCAGCTGCGACCTCTGCAAAGACGGAGACCTCATGCCCTTTCTTTGCTGTGGTAACCCACTGGCCCGTAGCATGCTTAGCTCTACAGAAAGTGCCTTGAAACATTACTAACTTTTTGAAGCTCCATACCTGGCTATCTTATTTATTGAATATATTTCTCCTTAGGTGGCATTCATTATTTTCATATTTTGCCATGCAGAAAGTGTAAATACATTTAGATTTATATTGTGTCTTTGTTTTTTATGTAGATGTGTGTTTGTTTACTGCTTTGTGATTCCATTCATTGCTTGTAAAAGGTCACCCCCTCCCCAAAGGCTTGACTGACAGAAGACTTTGTCTCTTTCCGTGTACTATTTTTTGTGTTTAATGCTGAAAAAACAATCTGAAATTTATTTTTTAAAAGATGTGAGATAAAAGCCTGAATTGATTTTTTTTCTAAATGGCTAACTAGTTATTTCAGCTTCATTAAGTAATTAATTCTTCCCTGTTAAGAAGTGTCTTTATTGTTAATTGAATTCTTACAAATAGTTGTCAGTTGCTAAATGTTTGTTTTAGTACCGGATCGTTAGTCCTCCATGACGCTTCATCGTGCTGATTCTGTCACATGTTTGGGGTGTATAGACTTCGGGAATATGTTTGAATTGGCTCCAAGTATTTGTTTGCAATTCGTAACTCTTTATTTATCAGACGATCTGGGGATGGATGAATATAGTAACCACTTGTCACATATAGATATTTAAATATAAATTAACTAAGTAAAATTAAGTACAATTAGGAACGCTGATTCTCAGTCCCACTGGTCCTATTTAAAGTTTGCAGATTAACCTCACAGGTGAGGTTTATAGAAAATTCCCTTCACTGTAGTTTGATTTGATTTGACTGTCAGCTCCATAGTCATTTTTCCAAGTTCTTAGAACTTGGAAACCTTGATTTTCAAACAATGTGGAAATTGAAATCCAGGACATACTTACTTGGGAGGTTACCAGCATCTTTATAGTATTTAATTTTTACTTTTAAAGATGAGATATGCAGTCATGGTTATAGTGTGCAGGTGTTTATACTTTCATTAGATTTTGTATGTTTGGTGCAAATCAATCCTAGCAGTTTCTAAGTTTTGAAATTATTTGATCTTTACATAAATATGTAATGATTATTTAGTAAGTTCTTAATTCTTCCCTCAACCACTTTTCCATTTTGATATCCTACCTTAGATTTTTAAAAGCATAGTAAGGTTTTAAAAAGAATGCTTGCATTTCATTGTATTTTCAAGCTTATTGGTATAATGTTTGGCTTGATTTTTAAAAAATCTGTTTTATCCACAATTCAGAGTTTACTGATGTTGGCTATTCTGTCTAATAAGTTTCCAAAGCTTTTTATTTTGTAGAGGAGGAGCCAGCTTTTATTCACACCCTCACCCCACCCCACTCTCCTTAGGACCCGTATAGGTTGGTCTATGGAAACGTCCTGTGGAAACCTGCTTCTGTGGCCTGTTCCTGAGTGACGTCTTCTGGGGCCATCTGCTCCAGGGTCACCTCCAGGGTCCCCATGGCCCTTCAGGCACCTGGACACCCCTCTGAGTTCTCCTTGCCCTCTGCTGCCTCTCCTAAGTGACCTCAAGCCAGAAAACTAAAAGAAGACAGTGTTTGACCTCAGTCTACTAAAAACACATCACTTATATTTTAAGATAGTGCCAGGGATATAGCTCAGCAGCACAGCACCTGCCTGGCAAGTGCAAGATCCTGAGTTCAATTCCCACTGGAAAATAAAAAAAAGACAAACTCCCGCTCATATTTTAAGATAGTAATTTTTTTTTAGCAAAAATGGTATGAAATGCTATGGTATGAAATACATACTATTAAATGGTATGAAATACATACTATTAAATACTATGAAAATGGTATTTAAATTCCAGTTGAATCTCATTATAGTAGATTTTGACTTTAAGGCATTGTTGAGCTTTGGACTTCCTAATACTTGGTCAGTGTTTGTAAAGACTTTAAGAGCTCCCTGAGACCATCATCTTAAGTGAAGTAAATCAAACAGACAACCTTAAATAGCGTGTGGCTTCCGTATATGAGAAACCTAAAATAGAAAGGAATTGAAGAGCAAAATAAAAGGTACTGGGAGCCAGGGAGAGCTTTTGCAAAAGAGAAACAGAGGGAAAGGAGCAGAGAGGAAGGCGATGCAGAAAAAAATTAAAATGTGTTGTGTGTTCATGCACCGGCTTCCCATGCTGGATGTGTGTACCAATAAAACTAAAAATTTAGAGAGAACACCTGTAAAATTGATTCTTGTTTATAGAAACAGAATGGCCTCATAGAGCATTTGATGCTGTGCGTGAGGGGTTGATTATGGTGCTCACAGTATATCTAGTCCTCATCTTCGTTTTGTTTCTTCAGTGCGACATTGGGTGTGATCCAGGATTGTTCAGATTCTCCCCTCAGCAGTGATGCCATTGATTGTTTTTGTTTGTTTGTTTGTTTGTTTTCTGGTACCAGGAATCGAACTCACGACCTTGCACTTACCAGGCAGGCGCTGTGCCGCTGAACTAAATCCCCAGCCCTTGCCATTGATTTTTGTTTTACCAAGATACCATAACTTTCATTGGCATATTCCTGAAATATTATATGATACTAATATTATGAGTCTTCCTGTATTTCCTTTTATGTTGACTGATGAATTTTTGACTGCTCTCATTTTGAAAAACTATAACTTTTACAGTATTTATCTAATGGAAAAATTAATAGGCTTTTGTTTTTGTTCTGATCTTAAAATTGCTCAGTTATCTATCTCCATAGAGACTGTATCCTTTTTTGTATTCCTAATGTTTGTACCCTAATTTTGTCCTTTTGAATGTTATTATTGGTTGCTTTTAATGTCTTTAAATGTGGGGAAGTTCTACTAAATGGCATATTTGTTACCGAATTTATGTTAGAAATTTTATTTTTACCTATTTGTCAAAATGCAAACAATTTAACTCTTTCTAGAGAGGAATTGAAATTATTTTTGGCTTCTTTTCACCTCTGCTTCTCTATTCTCTGTTGATTTAATCTGCATTCATTTTCTTTGTTACAACTCAATTCCTCTTTTATACTATTTTCTGATATTCTGATTTGTTATTTTAGTCTTAATAAGCATTTAGACCCCTGAGGGTCAAACTTTTATTGGTAATTTGACTTCTTAAAAACTATTTTTGTCTCTAGCAAGTTTCAGTGTTCCCTGAAAATTGCTTTTTGAGCATAGTTCTCTTGTTCCCAATGGTTAATAATTCATCTCTCTGAAACTGAGGCAGCATCGTACCCTAAGGACTACGGAGCTGACGCCTGTCATGGCAGCCTCTGCTGTGGTTGAGAGTGAAATGCGCCTAGAGGTCTCCTGGGCCCAGGTTGGGTGGGACTTCCGGAAGGTGATTGACGTGGGATTAATGGCCGCCACGCGCAGAGCAACCTCTTGTCTCAGCCCTTCCGCCATGGTATTTCTGCCTCACCTTAAGCCTAGAGAAACCAAAGGGCCAACCTTGGGCTGAAACTTCTGAAACCGAGAGCCAAAATAAATCCTCCTTTAAGTTGTTTTTCTCAGATGTTTGGCCACAGTGATGAAAAGCTGATTAACACAAGGTCTGAGGGTGTTTTGGTCAGCTCTGCACATAAATCTCATAGTTTATTGAATGCAGTATTCTCCCATAACCTGTCCCTACATTTTGCTAGCTTCCTCTTATATTTTTCTTTCTTTCTCTCCTCTCTCTGTCTTTCATGATTTTTGTTGGTTTTAGCCATCTATTTGACAGGCTCTTACTTTACGGGATGGAAAGATGTACTTGGGGTAGAAAGATGATTCCTCTTGCTATTTGAAAATAAAGCTAGTATGAAATACTGATTTGGGTTGTTTTTCTTAATCTAATATAGGTGGGCTTTCCTTAGGCCTGGAAATTCTTAATATGCCCAAATTCTTTATATTATAGTACCAACTCGGCATTGTTTAGGTTTACTTGAATGTGAGATTGTTTGTTGTCAGTGGGTGCAGCTTGGCCACAGTCTTCTCTGGCCTTCCCTGTCCACCTCTCATCTTTTTCATCTGTTTTTGTCGTTTTCTTGCAGTCTCAGGCTGTTTATCACGATGAGTCATGAGTATCACTAACTTAACTTCTCTGCACCATCAAGTGTGTGTATGCTATAATTATGTTTATTATTATTCTTTCATTTTGGTCACTCTGATTTTTATCATATAGTCTTTTTATTGTATGTTTGGTTTAACTGAAAAATTCCTTCAGGAATCTTTGTAATAACATGAAGCTGATTTTTAAAAAATATTATTGTATTTTATAAAGTAAATATTTTGACGGAGAAAGGCAAAAGCTTGCCTTTTTTAGCCAATAATATATTGTTTATCTTATGTTCCAAATTTCTCTTCAATTTCTGACTCCCAAGTCTTGGGTGCTCTTAAAATATATTTTTTAACATATTGAATAAGAGACCCTGCCAGGCTCTGGATTTCTCTGGTCTCCTTCAGCTGTGTTGTTTCCTGGGCCTGTCTCTTCTTGGAGAGGAAGAGGTTATGAGGAGGAGAGGGAAGGGTGTCTGTAGTGCTTCCTGGCACAGCTGGAGAGATACACAGGTTGTTCACTCCTCCTTGGGCGAGATTGGTGATGTCCTTGACTTGTGAGGGACCAGCATTGTGACCATATGGACAGCTGGTCATTGGAGGGCACTTTTGTGCTTATTGGTGAAATGCAGACTTTTCCATAGTCCCTGTGCTCTACCATGAACAGTAGCAAGTGGAACAGCCCAGAGAGGATATGTAACTGATTCTGGCAGCCCAAGAACACCAGATTCTTTCTAGAATGAAAGTGTGCTCTGTCCTGTTCTGTGCGGGGTGCTGTTGCACTCTCCAGTTTCACGGGGTTTGGGGGGAGGTTTTCTGTCTCCATTCAGTCCAAAGCGCACTTCTGTATTACGGAAAATAGATGCTATTAGCGCTACAATTTTAGAAAGTTTTTCATCCATACATTAATTTTTTTTTAGTTTTAAATTTGCTTAAGCTTTAATGGTTGAGTTAGTGATCTGCATGTTCTTTTGTTTGCTAAGTCTTACACTTTGATCACCCTAGATAATAGATAGACAAGACCTTACTGTAACGACAAGTTTACTTTTTAAGTCTTTATATTGGCACAGCAGGACTCTGGAGATGATTTCTTTGTCTTTCTGTATAGTTCTTCAGGAATTTTGCCACAGGTAGGCCAACTAAGCTTACTTAGAGTTGTGCTAAATACAGCGAAACCTCTTCCGAGCTGTGCATTAGATGAGTCTGTTCAGCTTCTCCACCTTTGCCTTTACTCCCCTTTCCCTCAGTGCTTCTCCAGAGATGGGGCAAAGTTCAGTCGCTGTGCATGGGACCTGGAGAAGTGAACATCGGGAACCCTCACCTCATCCTAGTGAGATCAGCTGAACCCGCATCCTCTACTGGACCTTTCCCGTAGTTGGCCACAGGTTGTGAAATGATCAAAACATTCAGAACCAAGCCAGCAAGTGGCCTCCACCACCTGCTTCAGGGCTGCTGCAGTTGTGTCTCAGTTAAGTCTCCAGAGAGCTCTGGGAGTGGAATCCCGGCCCAGCGTCTCCCTGAGTCAGTCCTCTGTGTGGTCCCTGGATAATTCCCAAGTCCGAAGAATTGAAAAAGCAGCCAGCGTGAGATCACATGTCTCTTTAGATGGGGACACTAGTGCTTGTCAGAAATGGCCCTACAGCACTCGCAAGTCACATTTTCTGTCAGGGATACACCACTCCCTACTAGGTCAGTGTCCACTGGCAGAGTGGACTGGGAATGGGAAAACACACAGTGACCTGAGAGGTGGTGGGCTGTGCCACCTGCCTGTCACCCTGTCCTGGGAGTGCTGAGACTCAGGCCTGCCCCCTTCCCCTCCCCACGGAGCTAGAAGACAGACCCCTGGATCTTCTCAGAGTATCTGGAAGTACAGAACAAAGCTGCTGGCCCTGGGCCCATCCCTGAGCTGCTTGGTCTTTGGGAGTGGGACCTTGAAAGGCTTCTTGTTGGCTAACCTTCATGTGGATCCAATCCACAGGAACACTAGTCACAGAGTAGAGGGTAACACAGGGGCCCAGGGGGATGATGGGTCCACCGTTCTCCTGTCCAAATGCAGAGAGAAGCTAGGTTTCCACAGGCTTCCCTAGGCTCTCTGCTGCTTGAGCCAAAGGTCGGCCTGATCCAGCGTGGAGCCTGGGAGTGGCACAGGGTGAGCAGAGCATTCTCCTGCCCGCCCTTCCTCTTCCCAGCTGTGCATTAGATGAGTCTGTTCAGCTTCTCCACCTTTCCCTTTACTCCCCTTTCCCTCAGTGCTTCTCCAAAGACGGGGCAAAGTTCAGTCGCTGTGCATGGGACCTGGAGAAGTGAACATTGGGAACTCTCACCTCATCCTAGTGAGATCAGCTGAACCTGCATCCTCTACTGGACCTTCCCGTAGTTGGCCACAGGTTGTGAAATGATCAAAACATTCAAAACCAAGCCAGCGAGTGGCCTCCACCACCTGCTTCAGTGCTGCTGCAGTTGTGGTGAAGTCCAGGGCCTGCGTGCTGAGCCGCAGAGCCAGCCCTTGCTCCATTTGATTTTATTTGGTGTTTGGAGGCAGTGCGTCTTTCCTTTAGCCTCTTTTTTTGTAATTTTAAATTTGTATACTGGTGCCTGGTTGTAGGACATAATGCTTTGCAGTCATCCTGTAGAGTTGGTGCATGTGCGTTACAGATCTTAATTCCCCTTTTATCCCCCCTCTCCTCCCCTCCCCCTCTCCATCTCCTGATCCCCTTCCCACTGAGAAAGATCTGTCTCCCTGCTTCCTATTATTTCTTTTACTTTGTTTTTTATTTATACCTTGGGCTTCTCAGAGAAGAGAAACCATGTGATATTGAAGCTTTGCATCTGATTTATTTCAGTTAACATTACGGCCTCAAGGTGCAAGTTTATCCTTCTTTATGGCAGAGTAGTACTCCACTGTATAGAAACACCACAGTTGCTTTATCCATACATCTGCTGATGGACATATAGGCTGCTTCCAAGATTTCAGCTAGTATGAGTTGTGCTGTTACACACATGTGTGCATGGGTCACTGTAACATGATGTCTTTAACTCTTTTAGGAAGATACCTTTAAGGAGAATGGCTGGGTGAAATAGAATTTCAAGTTTTAGTTTTTGAGGAATTGCCACACTAATTTCCATAGAGATTATATTAGTTCAGATTTCCACCTACACTGTAGAAGGCTTCCTTTTCCTCACAACCTCACCAGCCTTTGTTATTATTTGATTTCTTTTTTTGTTTGTTTTTTTGTTTTTTTGTTTTTCTTCCGGTACCAGGAATCAAACTCACAACCTTGTGCTTGCCAGGCAGGCACTTTGCCACTGAGCCAAATTGTCAGCCCCTATTATTTGATTTCTTGATGGCCATTCTTTCTGGGGTCAGATAGATTTATAATCTCAGTGTTGTTTTATTTTGCATTTTCTCTAATGGCCAGAGATACTGAGCATGTCTTCATGTATTTATTGGCCATTTGGACTTCTTTGATATGTCCACTTCAATTGCCCATTTTTTATTGGTTCTTTTATTTTGGGCATCTAATTTTATTTTTTGAAATAGGACCTCTGTTAATTGCTAAGATATCCAGGCTGGGGGGCTGGGGATTTAGCTCAGCGGCAAAAG